ACACCTCTCTCTCTCTATCTTAAATGTTCTCTCAATTCTCTATCTCCCTTAAATCCTCTCTAACTTCTCTCTCTCTTAACAACAACAACAAGATTCCATTTATAGAGCGCCTTTCACGTCGGGAGGACGTCCCAAGGCGCTGTACAGTTGGGTCAGGACCCGAGCAGGGGGGAAATGGTCAGGGTGAGGGGAGGGAAGGGAGGGAGCGAGGAGGGGGAAATGGTCAGGGTGAGTGGAGGGAAGGGAGGGAGCGAGGAGGGGGAAATGGTCAGGGTGAGGGGAGGGAAGGGAGGGAGCGAGGAGGGGAAATGGTCAGGGTGAGTGGAGGGAAGGGAGGGAGCGAGGAGGGGGGAAATGGTCAGGGTGAGGGGAGGGAAGGGAGGGAGCGAGGAGGGGGGAAATGGTCAGGGTGAGGGGAGGGAACAACAACAACAAGATTCCATTTATAAAGCGCCTTTCACGTCAGGAGGACGTCCCAAGGCGCTGCACAGTTGGGTCATGACCCGAGCAGGGGGGAAATGGTCAGGGTGAGGGGAGGGAAGGGAGGGAGAGAGGAGGGGGAAATGGTCAGGGTGAGGGGAGGGAAGGGAGGGAGCAAGGAGGGGGGAAATGGTCAGGGTGAGGGGAGGGAAGGGAGGGAGCGAGGAGGGGGAAGAGAGTCGAGAGGGGAGCTGAAGGCACGGTCAAAGAGAAAGGTTTTGAGACCGGCCTTGAAGGAGGAAAGGGAGGAAGCGGCGAAGGCACTGGGGATGGAGTTCCAGAGCCTGGGGGCTGAGAGGCTGAAGGCCCGACCACCGATGGTAGGGCGGTTGGGGCGGGGGACGTGGAGCAGACCGGAGCCAGAGGAACGGAGGGTACGGGCAGGTAGGTAGGGGGATAGTAGGTTGGAGAGGTAGGAGGGAGCGAGGCCGTGAATGGCCTTGTAGGTGAGGGTGAGGATCTTGAATTCGATCCTCTGGGGGATGGGGAGCCAGTGGAGGCGAGCGAGGGTGGGAGTGATGTGGTCGCGGTGTCTGGTGCGGGACAGTACACGAGCTGCAGAGTTCTGAATGACCTGCAGTGTGGAGGGAGGGCCGGGAAGGCCGGCGAGGAGAGAGTTCCCATAGTCCAGCCTTGAGGTGATAAAGGCGTGGACCAGAGTTTCAACCGCGTGAGGGGTGAGGTAGTGCCGTAGTCTGGCGACTAAATCCTCTCTCACTTCTCTCTCTCTCTTAAATCCTCTCTCACTTCTCTCTCTCTCTTAAATCCTTTCTCACTGTTCTCTCTCTCTCTTAAATCCTCTCTCACTTCTCTCTCTTAAATCCTCTCATTCTTTTTTTCCTTCTCTCTCTCAAATTCTCTCCCTCTCTTAAATCCTCTCACTTCTTTCTCTCTCTCAAATCATCTCTCTCTCTTTCTCTTAAATCCTCTCACTTCTTTTTTTCCCTCTCTCTCTCTCAAATCATCTCTTTCTCTTTAATCCTCTCACTTTTCTCTCGCTTAAATCCTCTCACTTCTTTCTCTCCCTCTCCCTCAAATCCTCTCTCCTCTCTTTCTCTCAAATTCTCTCTCTCTCTCTTAAATCCTATCTCACTTCTTTCTCTCGCTCTCTTAAATTCTCTCTCACTTCTCTGTCTTTCAAATACTCTTTCACTTCTGTCTTTCAAATCCTCTCTCACTTCTCTCTCTCTCTCAAATCCTCTCCAACTTCTCTCTGCTCCCCGTCACCAAAAGCTCATTTTGGCTGCTGCCCTGACCCGAGCCGCCCCCTTCCCAAAATGGCCCCAGTCCTACTCTCCACACTCCACTACTCCCAATCAGTCTTTCACTCCCACCGCTCTCCTCGCCTTCTCTTCCTCCTGGAACCTCCCACAGCCTTTCCTCGGCTCCATCCTGGGCAATCTCCACCAGGCTCACCCCGGCACTTGCTAATGGTTGTCCCAGAGCAAGACTGCCCCATCCCCCACCTCCAACCATTCCACAAGGTCTGTCTCCCCCACCTCCGACAGGTTAAACCCTCTCCTCCTCTGATCTATATCTTTTCCAACTCTTCCCCCTTACTTTCAACAATCTACCTTCATCTCAATTCCCCCTGCCCCATCTCCTCTGACTTCACTTCCCTCCCCTCCACCCTAAACCTCACCCTCCACATCCCTGATCCACAACCTTGGCCACTCCCTAGATCTAGTCATCATCACCCAGGGCCTAGACATCACTGATCTGCCGATCGCAGACAAGACCATCTCAGACCATTTCCTCATCTCCACCTCTCCCCTCATAACCCCCTCCTCCAAGCCCCTCCACTATATTTTTCTGTCCCTGGAAAAAGCTTGCCTGAGTCCCTCGCAAATACCTTCTCATCCTCGGACCTCCTCTCCCTCTGGCCCTCCACCTGCACCGATCCTGATGCAGCCATCAAGCCACTGAATGATTGTCTCTCCACAATCTTTAATTCCCTGGCTTTCCTGAAATCCAGGGCTGTTTCCAACTGTCATCTCTACTCCACGTAGCTGAATGTGGACAAGACGGAAGCCATACTCCTTGGCTCCCGTCAACGTCTTCACTCCTGCAGATCTGAACTCCTCAACCTCCCTGGACTCTCCCTCAGATTCACTGACCCGGTGTGCAATCTAGGCATCCAGGTCGACCCCCAGCTGTCCTTCCTCCCCCACATCCGGTCCCTGACCAGGACCGCCTTCTTTCACCTCCTCCACAATGCCCGTCTCCGACTGTACCTTACAACAAATGCAGTCAAAACCCTCGTGCTTGCGCTTGTCACCTCGGGCCTGGATTGCTCCAACGCACTCCTCGCCGGTCTTCACAGCTCCACTATTCAAAAGAGCAGCTCATTCAGACTCTGCCGCCCCCATCCTGACCCGGACCAAACTCCGTCCCCATATCTCACCAGTTCTGGCCCAGGCTCCACTGGCTTCCCATCCCCGAACGCATCGACTTCAAGATCCTCGTGTTCAAATCCCTTTACTCTCTGGCACCTCTCCAACCTCCTCACTCCCAATCCACTACCCGGCGCCTCCGCTCGACTGGCACCGGCCTCCTGCTCATCCCTCGCACCCTCTGCCCCACCATTGGAGGTCGCGCTTTCAGACACTACCCCCAAAACTCTGGAATACTCTCCCTCAATCCCTCCCCTTTTTCACACCCTGCCTGAAAAACTTCCTTTTTGACTGGGCTTATGGCCACCTCCCCCCACCCCGCCTCGGAATCAGGCTCCACCACTGTTAAGCGCTCTGAGATATTATGTATAAATATACAATAATAATAATCCTTGCATTTGATATAGCGCTTTCCATGTCTTCGAGACGTCTCAAAGCACTTCACAGAATATACTGTAAAGTGAATTGACTGTATATTTGTGGGCAAAATGTGGATGTTACCCTACGTGGAGGACGTTATATAATTGAAGGTTGTTGTTGCTTCTCAAGAGTGATGGTGCTTGGTTCAGGTCGCGGAGATAAAAAGGTGTAAAAATTAAGAGGAAAGAACTGGTCAGAGAAGCTTCAAAGATTAAAGGAATAAAATTAAACTAAACTGAAATAAACTTCTGTATTAATTTTCTTTTTTACATTTTATTGAACTATGTTGACTGAATAGCAACAAAAAATATTGATTACAAATCTCCATTCTTACCAAAATAAAAACTAGCCATCACAGTGTTGTCACAACAACAACAACAACAAGATTCCATTTATAGAGCGCCTTTCACGTCGGGAGGATGTCCCAAGGCACTGTACAGTTGGGTTAGGACCCGAGCATTGGGGGGAAATGGTCAGGGTGAGGGGAGGAAAGGGAGGGAGCGAGGAGGGGGGAAAGGGTGAGGGGAGGGAAGGGAGGGAGCAAGGAGGGGGTAGAGAGTCGAGAGGGGAGCTGAAGGGAAAGAGAAAGGTCTTGAGACCGGCCTTGAAGGAGGAAAGGGAGGAAGCGGCGAAGGCACTGGGGGATAGAGTTCCAGAGTCTCGGGGGCTGAAGGCCCGGCCACCGATGGTAGGGCGGTTGGGGCGGGGGATGTGGAGCAGACCGGAGCCAGAGGAACGGAGGGTACGGGCAGGTAGGTAGAGGGATAGTAGGTCAGAGAGGTAGGAGGGAGCAAGGCCGTGAATGGCCTTGTAGGTGAGGATGAGGATCTTGAATTCGAGCACAGGGATGTAGAGCTGAGCAACACATTTAATTTTTTAAGGCAGAAACTAAACAACTTTTATTACATGTAAATGCAACATTTAGAAAAGTCTTTGCACTCTGCAATGCTTGACATTTCTAAAACTAGAAAATGTTTGTTACAAAAGAATAATTACACACTTATTAGTCAGAGTTCAACATAAACACTCAAGTCTAATTCAGGCAAATGAGTGGGACAGACTTCAGGGTTCGAATTGGTTGGTTTACTCATCCAGGGTTTTACAATGTCAACATCTGTGAAGAAGTACATACAGGTGTGTGTATCCACCCAGTTAATGCTCAGCTCAAATACCTGCCATTAAAGATTCAGAGCGAATACTTCCCCTGTAGCCCCTGGTGGCAGACACCAGTTACTGCACCAGGATAACCTACATCTTCTATTTCAATGGTCTATTAAACCACATCAACATTTTTCAGTCTTGACCCTAAAGCAGCATCAGAATGATTAACGAATGGAACCTGTTTGGCCCACACATCTCTGCAATTTGACTGATTACCCAGATAAGGGGAACATTCACACAAACCAACAGTCAAGGGGACATCAAGCGCAGATAATACCATGATATAGATCTGAAGATCAATACATTATACAAAACACATTCAGACGTGGTGTTAGCTTTTATGTAGTAACGTGGGAAGGAAGCCTTGTTTGGAGGCATCAACCTGCAGATGCAGCAAACATACAAATTATGGGTGCAACAAGTGACAAGTATCCAGTCAGCTTCTGCTCTTCTAAATAGTCTTAATAGTTGTGTGAAGAAAACAAATTGCATTCTCAGAAGCTATTGCGGTAGCTTCTTTTTAAAAAACGAACAGGTACATTGAAACAAAGCTAACTTTTTTAATTTTTTATTATCGTGCACTTCAATCAGCTTACAATGCACAATGGACCTTACAGCATCAAACTTACACAAGGAGAAAAGAAAAAATTGTTTAAGAATCTTTGAAATTAGTAGTTACACCAACCTTGTTCTGGAAATACAGAAAGACACAGCCTTGACGATTTATCAAATACAAAGGCTCGATGGTTTGGAGGTTACCCCTTTGCTCTTCCCGAAACTGCAAAACCGCACTTGGCTGAGCAGTAAATTGAGAAGTAATTGGCTGCTGGTTTATTTTATAATATCATTCATACAATAATGAAAGCTGTTCAGAGCCTTATTTATGAACAAGTGAAGGACAAGCCCTGAGGAATCATTTCTGTCAGTCAACAAGTCCTCATGCTTTCTGAAAGGCTGGTCCACACATTCTGTAGCCAGAGTTAAATGATGGCTATGAACATTAGTAACATTAGTAACATCAGAGCACCAGCAACAATCAGCTGGCACCAAGATCAGTCACGTTTCATCCACTTCTAAACATTCTTTCAGTGATATGAACACATCGCTGCTGCTGTTAACCATCAGTCATTTCTTTAGACTTTTCATTTCGGTTGTCCTAGAAAAACAAGATTTGAAGGGGATTTCACGAGAGAAACCAAACACAAACCGTAAAAAAAGGTACATTAAGCACATTTATATTATTTCTAACTTTAGAAGCCATATTTACATTGAAATGGAACATTCTGGAGCAGAATGTGAATCACACAATGATCTTAGTTATTAGGTCATTGTGGAAGGGAGTGGAGGGGATTATGCAGTTACTGCGGGCAACTAGTGCCAACAGCAATAACCTGAAATATTGAGGAACCGGCTTAATGGGCTGAATGGCTTTGTCTTGTTAGTGTTTCCCAATGTTTCATTCCCAACCTGCTTCCTGGGAATTTTGAAGTCACTATAGCAACAATTTTAAAAGTAATATTTAGCAGAACTCCTCTTGTGGCAAAATCAAGACTCAGCTGCTTATACCACCTCCCAGAAAGGTCACCAAGGGCAGCAGCACAATGGAAAACCTCACAAACAACCCATCAGGACAATAACACAGCTTGATGATCATTGTGATATTACAGTGCATAGAAAGCTAGTCTGAGTAACCAATACATCATTCACACCAAAATGTTGCAGGTTAAATTCTCTCCCCCAAAACGCCGTGGGTGCTGGATCCATCCACACCTTCAAGAGTGAGGTTGATAGATTGTTGGTAGGTCAGGCCATTAAGGGTTATGGGGAGAAAGCAGGAAATTGGAATTGAAAGGATTAGTTGAGGTACAGATCAGCCACGATCTAATTATATGGCAGAACAGGTTCGAAGGGCTGAATGGCCTCTTCCTGTTCATATGTTCCTATAAATCCTGATCTCAGCTGAGTGAGCGAATCTCAGCTGGACCAACAATGGCAATGTTATAATTAGCCTCAGTGCCAGTTTGTGTTTGGGTCCATTCCCCTTCACAGTCATATTGGGCGGGAGGGACAGAAGAGCCTCAGGTGGCATTAATTTGCTACAGGAAGGAGCTGGGGAGGAAATGAGATAAGGAAGAGCAAAGAACCACCAGGCTGCCCTTGTGCTCCTCTAGTACCTTACTGAAGAACAGATGACAGCTGCCCAAAGAAAGTTACAAACCAATTTTCCAAAGCAAGATATTTTGGTGTGTGACAGAGAGATGCACACAAGGATTTACAAAATAATCTGAAATATACATATTCCTAAATAGAACCATACAAATCCACAGCACATTCGGCCCATCGTGCCTGTGCCAGCTTCAAGGTCAATTCTTTCAATCCCACTTTCCTGCCATTTCCAAACACCCCTATAGCTAACTCTTTATAAGCTATTTGTCTAGTTCCCGCTCAAAGGCCAATGTGGATTCTGCCTCAGCCACTGGCAAACAAAGGTAAATCTGTTACTGAATTCTGTGAGAGTATTTTAACTTTAACTGGTTAGTCAACATTGCTTCAAGTAAAACAACATTATTACATATTAGACCACGTCGGCCATGCTCCTCTCCTGGCGGGAATGATATTTAGGTTAACCTTAAGTCGGACAAAATGTCTATCCCGAAGTACAGCTTCCGATGTACTTACAGCGATCTCTAGAATGTGACTAATTACGTGTTAAGCAGAGTCCCTTATTAATATTGTGCATGAGGGGGGCAGGGTATTCACAGCATAGCAACTTCAGTGGAAGTGACTAGTTAAGCCAGTTAACAGAAGTTTACTGTATTTCCTCCCTGGCTTCCCTCAACATTCTCAGACGCTCCCATCAGGTGACTTTTCCTCTTTGAGTTCAATCAGTATCTTCCTTATCTATAGCTCTCATTTCTAACATCCTCCTCTTATTACACTCAGTGTCTCAGACAATCATTTCTGTAAAAACTGAGGCAAAATACTCATTAAATATCTCTGCCAGGCCATCATTTCCTGGAACTCAATTTCCCTTTTTGCTTCTAATTGACCCTGGCTTTTCTTTAGGTAACTAAGCAAGGTCGAAAAGGTTTTCAGGCGCGAATTGAAAAAGGGGAGGGGGGGGCAAGGCAGAGGGATTGTTCCAAAGTTTGGGGGCGTAGTGTCTGAAAGCGCGACCGCCAATGGTGGAGCGGAGGGTGCGAGAGAAGAGCAGGAGCCAGTGCCAGTCGAGCGGAGGCGCCGGGTAGTGGATTGGGGAGTGAGGAGGTTGGAGAGGTGGGGAGGTGCCAGAGAGTGAAGGGATTTGAACACGAGGATCTTGAAGTCGATCTGTTCGGTGATGGGGAGCCAGTGGAGCCTGGGCCAGAACTGGTGAGCCGGGGTATGGAGTTAGGTCTGGGTCAGTACGTGGGCAGGAGAGGTCTGAATGAGCTGGATTTTTTGAATAGTGGAGCTGAGGAGAGTTTTATATCCAAATTTGCAGATGACACAAAGTTAGGAGGCACAGTAAATTACGCAGATGGGAGCAGGAAGATACAAAGATAGATTAGATAGATGAAGTTAATGGGCAAAACTGTGACAGATGAAATTCAATTTGGGGAAGTGTGAGGTCATCCACTATGGATCCAAAAATAGTAAAACAGAATATTTTCTAAATGGGGAGAAACTAAGAACTTAAAGTCTGCCTTCCCCCATCACCGCATCTTCACTTGGCTCAACCATTGTCTCACACCGCAGGCCGCCGAAACCCTCATACACGCCTTCAGTACATCGAGGCTCGGCTATGCAAACTCCCTGCTTATCGGCCTCCCCAACTCCTCCCTCCGTAGGCTGCGATCATCCAGAACTCTGCAGCCCATGTCCTCTCCCGCACCAGCCTCCATGACCCTATCACCCCCATCCTCACCCAACTCCACTGGCTTCCCATCACAAAGAGGATACAGTTTTAGATCCTGGTCCTCACTTTCAAAGTCCTCCATGCCCTCACTCCTCCCCTACCTCTGCAACTTCCTAACACCCTACCATCCTGCTCCCTCCCTCCACTCAGCGGGCTCTGACCTGCTTCACATCCACCACCTCATCCACCCCACCATTGGCGAGCGGGCCTTCAGCCATTCTGCCCCCACCCTCTGGAACTCCATCCTGCAGTCCCTCCGCCTCACTCCCTCCATTGCCTCCTTCAAGACCCATCTCAAGACCCTTCTCGTCAATTGTGCCTTCGACCACTCTCCTTCCCCCCCTGCTCTCCACCCTCCAGAACTCTGACCCCCAGCTCGGGTCTGAAACACTAGCTGTCGAGCGCCGTGGGACGTCCTCCTGACGTGAAAGGCGCTGAACACATGTAATTTTGTTGCTGCTGTTGTAAGAAATCCTTAAAAAAAATTAAGAAGAATTTGGTCACTCAATCCACAACTGCTTGTGGGACACTGATGTGTGCAATTGCTTGCCTCATTTCGCTCACAAAATGTACAGCCACTACACTTTACAGTATATCCCATGAAGCTCTTTGAGATGTCTCGAAGATATGTTGAAGCGCGAAATCAAATGTAAGGACAGTGCGGGGGCCGCGGGCAGCGCGGGGGGGGCGGGCAGCGCGGGGGGGCGGGCAGCGCGGGGGGGGCGGGCAGCGCGGGGGGGGCGGGCAGCGCGGGGGGGGACGGGCAGCGCGGGGGGGCGGGCAGCGCGGGGGGGGGCGGGCAGCGCGGGGGGGGCGGGCAGCGCGGGGGGGGCGGGCAGTGTGGCGGTGGGTAGAAAGGAAAGCTGGGGATTGAAGCTGACGCCTAAGTTACTTTTGGGTTTGAAGAGTCTGAGGGAGAGCCCGGGGAGGCTGAGGGAGAGCCCGGGGAGGCTGAGGGAGAGCCCGGGGAGGCTGAGGGAGAGCCCGGGGAGGCTGAGGGGGAGCCCGGGGAGGCTGAGGGAGAGCCCGGGGAGGCTGAGGGAGAGCCCGGGGAGGCTGAGGAGTTCAGTCCCGCAGGAGAGACGATGTTAATGGGAGCCAAAGAGTATGGCTTCCATCTTGCCTACATTCAGCTGCAGAAAATTTGCGCTCATCCAGGCCTTGATGTCCATCAAACAAGCTGACAGGACATCAGTGGACTGGGAGTCGCAGCTGTCGGAGAAGTGGATTTGGGTGTCATCTGCATTCACGTGGATAATGACCCCATGTCTGCGGATGACATTGCCGAGAGGGAGCATGTACATGAGGAAAAGGGGGAACAAGGATGGTGCCTTGGAATATCCCACAGGTGACCAGGAGTGGGTGAGGGGAAAAAACACTTGCCGCGATACAGTGCTGGCGGTTTGTTAAGTAAGACTCGAACCATGCGAGTGCAGTCCCACTCGGGTGGATGAGGGAGGAGGTGGTGGAGGAAGGATGGCGTGGTTGAGTGTGGTGAATGTGGTGGAGAGAACGAGGAGGCAGAGGGAGCCTTGGTCAGAGGGAGAGAGGACGTCATTTGTTACTTTGAGAAGCGCTGTCTCTGTGTTGTGGGCTGGGAGAAAACCAGACTGGAGGGGTTCGAGTAGGGAATGGAGGGCGAGTTGTGAGCAAAGTTGGTTTGCAACAACACATTCCAGGGCTTTGGCCAGCAAGGGCAGGTTTGAAATGGGAGTCTATGTTGGGGCCCATGGTAGGAGCCATGGGTAATGGAGAGGGAATGAGGGGGCGGGGACTTGGGGAAGGAGGAGGAGGTGGCCAGACGGATTATATCTATCTTGGAGATAAAGAAATCCAAGATCACTTCGCACTTGGGATTTGATGTTATGATTGAGGGGCTTAATGGAGTACGTGGAGGAGGTGGTGGATGGTGGAGAACAGCATTTTGGAGTTGTTTTTGGCCTCCAGAATGATCCACGAGTGGAATGCACTTTTGGCTTGCGAGAGGGAGTGGCTGTAGGTGTGAAGATGCTCGAGTCACAGTTGGCAGCAAACTGTGAAGCCGATTTTGTGCCATCTGCACTCGAGCAGCTGGGTTTGAGATTTGAGGGAGTGGAGATGACTGTGTACCAGGGAGAGCTGGTAGGCTTAGAAACGGACCTGGATTTCAGGGAGACAAGGGAATTGAAAGTTGAGGAGAGGCCATCGTTTAGCAGCTTCACAGCTGCATCGGGATCGCTGCGGGTGGAAGGCCAGAGGGAGAGAAGGTCCAAGGTTAAGGGAGAGCCAGAGTAGTTTGTGAGGGAATCGGGAGGAGTCTGTTTCCACGGGCGGAAGGCATGGTGGAGAGGGGGTTATGAGGGGAGAGGGTGATGAGGAGGTGGTCTGAGATGGTCTTGTCCGTGTTGGACAGACCTGAGATGTGTAGACCATGGGTGATGATGCACTCAATAGGGTGGCCACGGTTGTGGGTTGAAGAATGAATATGGAGAGTGAGGTTTAGGGTGGAGAAGGCAGTAAAGTCAGAGGAGATGGGGCATGAGGAGTTGAGATGAAGGTTGAAGTCACCCATTATGAACAGGCGTTCAGTGCAGAAGGTCAGGGATGAAAGGAGACAGTAAATTGGGGGCGGGTGGGGGGAGAAATGATAAACAAGGAAAATTTTGAGGGAGAGAGAAGGGATGTTACAGGTTGAAGTGCTCAAATGAGAGGAAACAGCCAGAGGAGTAGGAGGATAGATCAAGGGAGGTTTGAGAAATGAAGGCCACCCCACCACCGTATTGGCTTCGATGAGTGGGAGGCTGTCGATGGCTTTGTTTAAGAGAGCAGACGTTTTTGGAGGCCGATGTGGGTCAGTGCGCTGATGGGAGAGGCTGAGGAGAGTTGCAGATTGTGGGTTTGAGGGGGCACCTGGGAAGGGTGCGGATGGGGGTGGGGGAGGGGTATACCTTCTGGAGGCAGGGAAGGGTTTTGCGGAGATAGTGGGCAATGGGGTAGTCGGGGCAGCTGCTCAGGGACAACCATCGACGTGTGCCGTGATGAGCACAGTGGAGGTACCCAGGCTGAAGCAGAGGGAGGCTGTGGAAGAGTCTAGGAGAGAAGGCAAGGAGGGCTCTGGGAGAGAAGGACAGAGGTCAAGTAGACCAGGTGGACAGTAGAAATGGGGGCATTTTGAGGGGAGTAGGCTTGGAACGGCTGCCAAAATGTGCACAACGAGAGCCCTGGAGCGAGCGATCAACGGGGCATGGAAATGGCAAGGTTGGTGGAAATAGTGCAAGGGGGAGAGAGAGGGTACAGCAGTCATAGTCTTATTTATTAGGTAGGATACAGCCCCAGCCTAATAAATAAGGGTTTGAGAGAGAGAGAGAGAGAGAGAGGAATAGGGGAGGAGGGAGATTTCAGAGAGAAGATGTGAAGAGGTATGGGACATCCACCTGACGTGAAGGCGTTTATACGGCAACTCCTTCCTCCTCTGCAGCGAATCCCCACGCTCACTAGATTCCTATTGTAGAGGCCTCACACTGGTACGCTCTCTGTTCGAGTCAGGCTCTCGCAAGACTCCCTTTTATATAATCCCCAGACAGACAGAACCAGTTTCAACTGGTCAGTTAATAATTAACACCCGGCCAGGACCTACTTTCAAGCTGACAAGAAAAACAAGTTAGAAAGAAACAAGCAAGCAGATTCTGCACTATTTTACCCTCAGATTCTGTACTTCTATGATTTTGCCAATAAAATTGCCTACAAAATACAGTCAATCTAGAATCTACAGTCAAGCATTTGAGACATCTCAGAGACTTGATAATGTGCTGTATCAAATGCAAGGAGTATTATCCTCCTCCTTGGGGGTGGGGAGAAAGGTAAGTGGGGTCTCCTTGGAGTTGAACTGGCTCCAAAGTGACATGTTGAAAAAGTCAGAATCCAGCCTCCCCTCTGTGGCAGTTTCAGTAGCTGAGCAAGACACATCAGTTCCTGAGCCAGGGAGGTCCACAGTATTCCAGGGCACTCACTGCTGATGACAGCACAGCCCAGCCTGACTCAGTGGAAGGTCCGACCAGTCACTGGGCACAGGGAGTCATCCCACTCAGCTCCTGGTCACCCTGCAGCCAAAGCCCTCATGGGTAGGGCAGAGGGAAAGTTTACCAGACAGCAATATTAATGGCAAGCTATGTGGTTTTAGCTGGTTAGACTCCAGCAGTTACCCCAAGTCTTGGCTCTTGCCAACCTGCGCCTAATACTCTCCGGAATTAGATAAGCAGGATGCGGCCCTCCAGGGAGAGAGAGAGTGCGCATTGGGACGTCCTCCCGTCGTGAAAAGCGCTATATCAAATGCAAGGATTATTATTATTTCTTAGCGATCACATAGCGATCGTTTAGCAGCTTGACAGTTGCATCGGAATCGCTATGGGTGGAAGGCCAGAGGGAGAGAAGGTCCGAGGCTAAGTCATATTAAAAGTATGGTCCCAACTGATATTCATAGATTCATAGAATGTTACGGCACAGAAGGAGGCCATTCGGCCCATCGAGTCTGTGCCGGCTCTTTGACAGAGCAAGTCACTTTCACTAACCCCAATCACCAGCTTTCTCCCCATAACCCTACAAACCCGTCTTCCCCAGATACCTATCCGGTTTTCTCTTAAAAGCTGTTATCGGATTTCACTGCCCTTTCAGGCAGATCATTCCAAATTCGAACAACTCACTGAGTGAAAAAATTTCTTCTAACCTCCCCTCTGCTTCTTTTGGTAGATATCTTCAGACTGTGACCACGGGTCATAGACACACCTACCAGCGGAAACAGCTTTTCCCTATCCAGCCTGTCGAAACTTTCATGATCTTGAAGACCTCTATCAGGTTCCCGCGTAACCTTCTCTGCTCTAATGGGAAAAGTCCTAACTTCTCCACTGTCCTCATAGCTAAGGTTCCCCATTCCTGGTATCATTCTCGTGAATCTCCTCTGCACCCTTTCCAGTGCCTTAATGTCCTTCCTGAAGTAAGGAGCCCAGAACTGGACACAGTACTCCAGCTGAGGCCTAACCAGTGTTTTGTAGAGATTAACCATAACCTCCCTACTCTTATACTCTATGCCCTACTAATGAAGCTCAATACACCAAATGCCCTTTTTATTGCCCTTTCTACCTGCTCTGCCACCTTCAATGAATCGCTCACTTGAACGCCCAGATCTCTCTGTACGTTCACCCCCCCTTAAGATTGAGCTACCAAGTCTATATTGCCTCCTATCATTTTTCCTACCTAAGTGTATCACATCCTACCTAAGTGGACCCCATCAGGGTCCAGGCAGGGCGAAACCTTGGGCAAGTTTCCTTACTCCACACACCTGATAATAATCCCTCCAAAAAAACAAAATAATAAATTGGTCATTTTCAATCCATGACTGTTTGTGGGATATTGCTGTGCGCAATTGGCTGCCGCGTTTGCCCACAAATATACAGTCAATTCACTTTACAGTGTGTTCTGTGAAGCGCTTTGAGACGTCCTCCTGACGTGAAAAGCGCTATATCAAATGCAAGGATTATTATTATTATAATATTGCAGCCTCCATAATAATGTGTGCCTGTAGCTCACCAGTTTTACTCATACTTTGTGTGTTAATATATATACACACATACAGCTTAAATCGGTCTCTGACTTTGGAGCTCCTTTACAACTGCTTTTTCTTTTTCACTCACATCTCTTTTCTGAGTGTTTAAATTCTGCTCATCTCTTCTCTCTTCGAGACTAGCATTGCATTCAGGTTATTTGATTTTCTGTACGTTCCTATCCCCCCATTTCCACACAGTATTCTATCATGTTTCTTCCCACCCCTCACCATATTAGTTTAAATGCTCCACTGCAGCCCTGGTTCTTGTCCCAGTGAGGAGCGAGGAGCCTGGTTTGCTCAGGTGGAGCAACAACCAGTCATGTTATTAATATAATATTTTGCATCTTCAGATGTTGTTGTACCTAAGCTGCAGGGAAACCAGATGACGAATGTTTCACGAACCTCAGGAGGTGGTGGCTTAACAGTAACCGGCTGAGACGGTCTCCTAGGAGGGGATGGCTTTGGCAGCACCTGTTGCTGTACGGTATTGTAATATGTGACTCCACCATAGACTTGAGACTGGGCCTGAAAGAACAGAGATTAATATCTCATTATTTACATATTGTACAAAATTAAATGCAAATGCCCTTGCTACTTATCCACTGGTCATTTTTTTGCAGGTTAAAATGTCCAATACTTAGAATGAAGTTTCATTTTATCAATGGCACAGACATCACTTTCAGTTGTAAAAACCCAATGATATGATGGGCATCATTGTAGCAGATGCTTTTACAGTATTGAATCGGATTCACTATAGTCACCATGCATCCACGTTTTTAATCAGCTTTAGGCTAGACCACACAAACTTTGCTCACCGACCCTCCCCAATCGCTGCAGCTCAAATCCTCTCACACCAGACTCCACAAGCTTACACCCCCATCCTCGTCTGACTCCACTGGCTCCCCATCCCCCAGAGGAATGATAAGATCCTCATCCTCACTTTTAAATAGCTCCCCAGTCTTGCCCCTACCTCTGAGACATTCTTAAACCCCACCAACCCACCCGCATTCTGTGGAACTCCATTCTGCAGTCCCTTCACCTTGCCCCTTCCTTTGCCTCCTTTGAGGTCCTTCTGAAGAAATTTGTAAGGAAAGTTTTTTAAAAACTGCTAACTAAAAGTACTGAAGCACAGCTGGTGATACGTCACTTGTTATATTGCACAAGAAACAAGAATGTGGGTTACCCTACTACCCTGAAGGTCAAAAGCACTTTTTGTGGTGCTAATACTGCTTACACATGCCCAAATGTGATTCAGATTTTGGGGTATAATTGAAGGTATTTTAGTCAATGTCAGTGAGATGCAAATCTGACCAAATCCCAGCTGCTTCCTGCTCTCCCAGGGATAGGTAGTTTAGGATCAATATCTCTGAAACCTGGTTGCTACATTATTGCGTCTGGTGATTCAGTGCTGTCTGTTTAACTATTGACTGTCGAACTGTAATAAAGGAAACAATTGTTTAACATTTAAACTGCATGTATTACTTCACTAATTATTAATTAAATAGTAAATACAAAGTTTCCTTACACCTTCCTCTCTGACTGCACCTTTAGTCATCTTCCTCCTCTGGCCCCCACCCCTCAGTTCAGGTGCCAACCCTCAACTGTGCAGCGCCTTGGGGCGTCCTTTCAATGTGAAGGGTGCTCTATATAAATGCAATTTGTTGTTGTTACTTTCCTATACTCATGTTTATTCCATGAGCATTTTCCTTCTGTTCATCTTCTTTAGAACAAAATTGTTTGCTTGCTACTTTTCTCATCTTTTATTTTTAAAACTTCTCTTTTTACTATTTTCTCTTTAAAAACACGTTCTTCTAAATTTTTTCATGTTTCATTGACAATTCCCTTTCATCTCTAAGCTCGTGAACGTTATTTCATTTCCAATAAAAGTAATTTCCTTACAACGTTACTCCTCCAAACACCGAATTCTGATCTCAGTGGAGGGATTAAGTGATTGAGGCCTTTGCTATTCTGAAAATACTTGCGACTGCAGAATTTCACACACATGCGATCATTATGCTGTACTGAATGCAGTGATTTCCCTAACAGAATTGATTGCACAGTGAATGTGCTACACTTTTGTAAGTAGAAAACCTCATTGCAACCTTTGTTAGTCTGCTCTTAAAGCAAAACAGAGGAATAAAAGGTTGGTTATACTCCAAAATAGAGGTTTAATTTTTGCTCTTAAATTAAATCATCACATCAATTACTGAAGAATCACCGTTTCTGATCTATTAACTATTTAATGTCTTTCACAGTACTCTCACCTGAGTGGTTGGATAAATGTGAGGTGGGAGGCCTCCAGGCGTGTATGGATAACTAGGATTTCCAAAGTTCATCATTCCAGGTGTGAAGTAGGAAGGAGCAAGCATCTGCTGTGGAGGTGGCTGTCCAGTTGGCATAGGAACTTGTGGAGCATACAATCCCGAGTTAGTGAGGTGATTGGGTGACTGGTGATGATTGAAACCTGGGACTGATAAAGATCAACAGATTTAGCCATTAATCCAGACGGTAATATAGGAAGACTTAAGGGAAAATTCACAAACATTTACAAGAATATGCTATGATATAGGGGGACAATTTGGAACTATGAAGGTAAGATGGAAAGTATAAGGGGCGAGGGGAATGGGTTACTGTAACAAGGCTTTAGTTCAGCTGAATAGGGAATTCAAGGTAGGAGATCAAGTATTACCAATCATTGTCCAAACAATAATGCTCCCAACACAGAGCACAGAATGAAACTGCTACAATATTCCTGATAGAAATTTTATAGACTTCTTAGATTGGCTGGGACACAGAGGAGCTCACAGTCCAGGCTGAGGCTCCAGTGCAGTGCTCTTTGGAACGCTGCATTGTTGGAGATGCTGAACTTCTGATGAGACATTAAATAGTATCCAGAAAGCTTTACCTGGAGCATCTCTCTCACCCACAAAACAACAACAACAACAAGATTCCATTTATTGAGCGCCTTTCACGTCGGGTGGATGTCCCAAGGCGCTGTACAGTTGGGTCAGGACCCGAGCAGGGGGGAAATGGTCAGGGTGAGGGGAGGGAAGGGAGGGAGCGAAGAGGGGGTAGAGACTCGAGAGGGGAGCTGAAGGCTCGGTCAAAGATAAAGGTCTTGAGACCGGTCTTGAAGGAGGAAAGGGAGGAAGCGGCGAAGGCACTGGGGGATAGAGTTCCAGAGCCTCAGGGCTGAGAGGCTGAAGGCCCGGCCACCGATGGTAGGGGGGTTGGGGCGGGGGATGTGGAGCAGACCGGAGTCAGAGGAACGGAGGGTACGGGCAGGTAAGTAGGGGGATAGTAGGTCGGAGAGGTAGGAGGGAGCAAGGCCGTGAATGGCCTTGTAGGTGAGGGTGAGGATCCTTCCAATTTACAGCATATTCTGAAATATCCTGACGTGAAAGGCATTATACAAAATTTAAGGATTATTTTATCATTAGTGTGTGACCTCTCCAATCTCCTGAGGAATTTATTCATTACTAATCACTACTGTTTTACCATTGGCCAATTTTTTTTAAACAAGCTTTAAATCACGTTTGTCCAACTATGAATGAAAAACACCAATTGCTGAACACAAAGTAAACTAATCTATATTCATTAAAGTTCCTCCATCCACAAACAACAACAAAATTACATTTGTATAGCACCTTTCACGTCGGGAGGACATTCCAAGGTGCTGGACAATCAGTGTTTCAGACCCGAGCTGGGTATCAGGATCGCGAAGGGTGGGGAAAGGCGGGCGACCAAAGGTCGAAGAGGAGGGTGTTCAGATGCATCTTGAAGGAAGCAGAGGGGGACGAGACGGAAGGAATGTGTGATGGGAGTTCCAGAGGGTGAGGGCAGAGAGGCTGAAGGCCCGCCCGCCAATGGTGGGGTTGGCGAGGTGAGGGACGTGAAGCAGGCCGGAGCCCGCTGAGCGGAGGGAGTGAGCAGGATGGTAGAGGGTTAGGAGGTCGCAGAGGTGGGGGGGAGCAAGACCATGGAGGGCTTTGAAAGTGAGGACCAGGATCGTGAACTGTATCCCTTGTGTGATGGGAAGCCAGTGGAGTCGGTGGAGAATAGGGGTGATAGAATCACTGAGCCTGATGCGGTCGCGGGCACAGTCTGCAGAGTTCTGGATGATGTGTAGCCTATGGAGGGAGGAGTTGGGGAGGCCGACAAACAGAGAGTTTGTATAGTCAAGCCTGGATATTATGAATGCGTGATCGAGGGTCTCGGCGGCCTGCGGTGTGAGACAATGGCAGAGCCGGGGGATATTGAGGTGGGGAAAGACGGAGCGGGTCAAAGCACGGATGTGGGGGATAAAGGACAGTTGAGGGTCAAACAGGACGCCGAAGTTTCGTATTGGCTCAGTGAGATGTAGAGTGCATTCATGCAAAAGATGCTGTTAGCGCCCGAGGTATGGAGGCACTGACAAGAGACAGACAAGCAGGAGGAAAGTTAGCTCTCATCCAGGATTGATGTCTGACTGACATTCTCTGAGGAGAGCAGTGGTCTTGGAATCAAGGCAGATTTGGGTGTCACCTGCATACATGTGGAAGTTGACCTCATGTCTGTGGATGAAGTCACCAAGGCGAAGCATATAGAACAACATATAGATGTTGAAAAGGAGGGCCAAGGACAGAGCCCTGAGGGACACCACATGTGACGGTGCGGGGGCTGGAGAAGCCGTTAGTGGTGACAAAGTGGAGAATGGTGGAAGAGGTAGGAATGCTCATCACATCTTCCATTTTGACATTAGCTTTATTACAAGTGTTATGTACCTGGATGAGGAAGGTGAATGTCTTGCTGGACAATCATTCCTTGAGGTGGTAAAGGAGCTGGACTTTCGTTGTGTGTGTATATAGGTCCTTGAAATTGTACTGCAAACAGAAGATAGCAAGAACATTATACAGATGAGCAAGATTTATAATATAAGGAATACAAACTCTAGAAAATAATGTGTAACCATTCCAAAATTCAACAAAAATTGCCCTTGATTCATTTTTCAATATTTAAATAATTAATGTTAGTTATCAATCTTCTTTCACATGTAGCAATACTACTCACTTTTAATTTAAAGTCATAATTTTAATACTGAAAGCACTTAAGTTTCTAAATACACAATGCTGTACAAGGCTATAAACATTACTGTTCAGCATCTTATTTGCTTCAAACTTTTCAGTGAATATAAATCTTTTATTGAATAATAATTCATGTGCTATCGAAAATAATGTCAAATATTGCAGAATAAAGGCAGCTTGGTTACTGCAATAAGTGTATCCTAATATAGCCCTAGTCAGAGAAAGTAAAATACAGAAGGCTATTCAGCTCATCAAACCTCTGCTCCTCACAAGGCAATCATTCTAATCCCAATTTCATGCTCCCCGTCCCTTACCATTTGAACTACTTCTCACCAAATGTTTATTCAGTTCCTATCAATCAATTACCCAGTTCCTATATATCAATCAATCGCCTGAATTGATATTGTTTAAAATAGTTTTTATAGCTGCCCAAGAAATGAAACATATAGAGCTTTTTACGTGGATCGTAGTAATGTCCTTCCATCAGGCCGATGTGGAGCGGTGCAGGAGCAGGTCCTGGGGCTGGTGGTGGTGGCGGCGGTGGTGGAGGAGGAGGTGGTGGGGGAGCGTCAGGTACAGACCGTTGCCTTTGAGATGAATAACGTTTTGCTCGACCTCCTTGAATTGCCTACAACATATTCAATAGTTTGATCCAGTCAACACGGTTTAAACTACAGACCTTTATTTAAAATCTTTTTTGGATTCTCTTTGCTCCCCCACCCCTCATTTTGCGAGGGCTCAATGTTTTTTCTCCCTCTCTTTCTTGGTCTTGTTAGGCTAAGCATTCTTTATAGACAACATAGCAGACAATCTGCTTCCAGATTCTATCTATGTACATTTCAGCTGTCACCTGGGAGCTGCACAACACCAGACTGCCACTGACTCTCTCTTATTGCTCTTTCCAAAAGGATGAGAGATAACGCTGGGGAGATGAAATCTCCCTCCTTGGCTTGGTGCATTGGTTGTTGAACCTGCATTTGGCCCCTTCCCATCCTCATCACCATCATCCCAGAAGTTTTGATTAGCTGCAAGAAAATAATAGGCAGTCTGGTAGTCTGATGAAGGCAAAAGTGCAGTTATTAGTGAACGTGCACCAGGAAACCAATGGTTTGCCAGAGGACCTGGAAACATTATTTTCCAACTCAAATAACACAAGGATCCTCTCTCAACTACATCTATACCTTCTAAGAGGATCCTTAATACCAATGTACATCCCCTAGATACTTTGTGGATCCAGGAACCTCCATGATTGCCACAAGTATACCTCTTGAGCCTTCTATTCCAACCATCCAGACATAAATCTATTGTACAATTTTCATAATTCTAATAATCATCCTTGTATTTGATATAGCGCTTTATCATGTCTTCGAGACGTCTCAAAACAGAATATAGTGTAAAGTGAATTAACTATATTTTGTGGGCAAAACACGGCATCCAATTCCACACAGCAGGGTCCAACAGTCGTGGATTGAGTGACCAAATTATTAATTTTTTTGGGGGGGGATGGGAATATACCCCCAGAAGAGCAATCCGCCAATCGACTATCAACCAGGTTTCTGCTTACTGCTAGGTGAACAGAGCATGTTCAACTTATTTCCACTCCGCATGTAAGCAAACTTGCCCAACATTTCGCCCTGCCGGGAATCAAATCCAGGTCCTCCTGTTTGCGAGGCGAGTGCTATAGGACTCCACAATATCTGGTCATACAAACACCAAATGATATCTGGTCATTCAACACCAAGGGACAGATTTGAATTTAGAAGAGTGAAAATAATTCTAATTTGCAACAATTGTAGTTCGAGTCCTGTAGCTTAGTGGAGGATAGCTTTTCCAGAGGTAATAATTCCTTTAAAAAAAGTAAATAATAAAAATGGTCACTTGAGGTCACAGAGGTAATAATAATACGGTCATTTCAATCCACGACTGTTTGTGGGACACTGCTGTGCGCAATTGGCTACCATGTTTTGCCCCAAAACATAGCCAATTCACTTTACAGTATATTCCGTGAAGCGCTTTGAGAGGTCTAGATGACGTGATAAGGCGCTAAATCAAATGCAAGGATTATTATGATTATTGTTTGTTTTGATGTTTGTGCTGGGGTCGAAGAAAACTGTAGTCCACCTTACCATCTCTTCCACTCGGTTATACTGTGCTCCAGCACTACTTATGTGTATTGAACTGGAAATTCCTGCAAGAAAAACACCACCGTCAATGTTACCTATCGTACAGAGTGCAATATTTAATTACCAGTCATTATGGTTTTACATAACATCCAAAAAAGTTTTCATTAACATAGAACCGTTCACATGGGAACGATGTCTCAGAGGACTTTACACTGCTGGCTAGACACTTGGCTTTACGTTTTCACAAGTAGCTGCTCAAGTGGATTCCAGTAATGACTGCTGCAAAATGTACAATCGGTGAAAACTGGATTACATTCAACTGTTCAAATAGCTTGCTATCACTGACTGTCTAGAAGATGACCGAAGGCACTGTTGAAGAGGAGGGTCTTGAGAGGTGGCAAGCGTGGGTGCGAGGCAGAGGGACTTTGGGATGGAGTTCCAGAGGGTGGGGCAGAGAGGCTGAAGGCCTGCCAGCCAATGGTGGGGTGTGCAAGGCGAGGGCTGTGAAGCAGGCCAGAGCCTGCTGAGCAGAGGGAGCGAGCAGGATGGTAGGGGTTAAGAGGTCAAACAGGTAAAGAGGAGCAAGACAGAAGGCTTTGAAGGTGAGGAGCAGGATCTTGAACTGTATCCTCTGGGGGGTGATAGGGTCACGGAGCCTGGTGCGGGAGAGGACACGGCCTGCAGAGTTCTGGATGATCTGCAGCCTGTGGAGGGAGGAGTTGGGGAGGCCGACAAGGAGGGAGTTTGCGAAGTCGAACAAAGATGTTTTTGGACAGCGGCAAAAGAAATAATGAATAACCAACGGGATAAAACAACAACAAAATGACATTTGTATGGCGCCTTTCACGTCGGGAGGATGTCCCAAAACGCTGGTCAATCATGAACAGATTCCCCATCAAACAATAGTTATTTTAAAAGAAGAATTAATAAGTCTTCACAATAGAAGTAAGGACTTCTAGGTATAGTTACAAATTGCAGATGAACCATCTGTAGCAATTATAAACAGAAAGTTCGGTAAAGAATTCAGGATTCTCTCCAATGGTATGTTGGTAAAGTTATTTCATATCATTCGACAGGAAATCAACACAAATTAAATGAAGCCACTTACCGTGGAGTTCTCTTGGTTGGATGTACTGTGGCTGACCACTTGGTGTCCAGTTTTGTCCTGATACGTTCAGTTGAGAAATCTCACATTCGAGCCCTGCCAAAGGGGAGTCCACAGCCGGGGGAGTCTCCCAGGAGCCGGTCTTCAGTGCTGGAGGAGAGACAGCTTGAACAGGTTGCTGGTCAGCTGGAGCCAACAATCCTGGTTGGGAAGCATCCTCAGTCAGCAATGGCTTTCCTGCCTCTGTGACCTTGTTCCTGGTCCTTCGAATGCGAGAGTAGGATTTCTTTTCTATAGTTTTCTCTTGTACCTGCTGCTGCACATTCTCAGCAGCAAATGTCTGGCTTGGAACATGGGTATTTTCCCGTTTGGAACTATTGTCCTTTACTGACTGCAAACTGTCTGCCACAATCTCCTGCATCCAACCCTGCTCAAGCCTCTGTGTCTCAAGGTTGCTTTCATCAGCAGATAAATTCCCTGTAGATTGGCAACTTTTTGAATTATTTACTTCTCCTGGTCTCATATTCTCACATTCTTCGTTATAAGCATGTTTGTAGTAGCTCTTTGCTGGAGATCTCCGCTCTAGACCTCCCATTTTGTGGTTAAACGTTCTTGGAGTCGGTTCACTACCGGTAGCTTTACGCAAGTAAGGCCTTGGTAGTGGTTCAGCCAGCCATTCCGGATCTCGATTTGGACTTCTGAACCTTTTGATATCAAAGCAAAAGCACCATTACACATCCAGGCCTCAGTCACTGACAATTTGCTTTTTTAATGTTAGTTTAAATTACCGTTTGTTCCATCAACATTTCTCTTGGGAGGTATAAGTTCACTATCTGAAAAAAGTGCTAGTAAATGGATGAATTAACTGATCCAACAGTGGCACCCACTCCTCTTATCAGAGGTCACTTTCATTCTCCCCGACTAGGTTTACTTTTTAGAGCAGCAACATATAATTATTAGAAAGTGAAATTCTTAGGCTAAGATATTACTAACCTACTATTGTTTTCTAAACTAAACTCACATTTCTCTAACAAGCAACAATTAATTATTAATTAAAGTAGACTGAATGTTTTCATTTAATTCTGAAGACATATTTCTCCATTGTCAGTTCTATATTTTGCCAATTTTATTAAAAAGATTGCATCCCTTATGTCTTTCTTAAATTGATTTAGTGACATCTTTAAATACAAAATGATCCAGGAAAAGCAAATCCAACATTCAACAGTGTGATATCAGATTAAGGGACCATTATAATGGGATTGGTCCCTATTGTTTCACCAAGACCCTAACATTTCACAGCAATTCTGCAAACCTGGGTTTCCTTATCCTTCTTGGCCTGATTTCATCGGGATTTCTGTCTGACCGAATGTCGTATCCATAAAGAGCAATGAGCTCTTCTCTAGATTTAGGCGCTTGTTCATCTTCTTGGAACTTGTCATGCACCCATCTGCCTTCATCTTTCCAGAGCTTCCTTTGACGAACCTTGGGCCTGGGAACAACAAGACATGAATACACACTTATGAATTCCGAACAAATGGGTTTCCTGTGATCATATAAATCAAAATGGAATTAGCTGGAATGGAAATACAGGGACAAGATATTGAGGTGGTTTTATCTTTTTCCTGAAAATCTCTGGCTTCACTGATGAAAGAGGAACCCGACACTAATTTTTAAATGTCTTAATTACTAGCCAACAAAGCTGCTCGGATGCCACAATCTCCATTAGTCTAGAACTACAGAAAGCTCCAGCCTGTTGTACCCAATATGGTATGCCAAGCACTTTCCATTCAATTCACATTGCATCACCATCCAAGGATGCACATTCCACCTTACTAAGCCAGTCCAGAACTTGGCGTTTTGTTTGACCCTCAATTATCCTTTTTACCCCACATCCGTGCGATGACCACTCTAGCCTTCCCTCACCTGCACAACACTGCCCGTCTCCACCACTGCCTCACCCCTCAGGCCGCTGAGAGCCTCATTCACACATTCATCATAACTAGGCTTGACTACGCCAGCTCCCTGCTTGTCAGCCTCCCCAACTCTTCTCTCCACAAGCTGCAGATCATCCAGAACTCTGCAGCTCGTGTCCTCTCCCGCACCCGGCTCCGTGACCCCATCAGGGTCCAGGCAGGGCGAAACCTTGGGCAAGTTTCCTTACTCCACACACCTGATAATAATCCCTCCAAAAAAACAAAATAATAAATTGGTCATTTTCAATCCATGACTGTTTGTGGGACATTGCTGTGTGCAATTGGCTGCCGTGTTCGCCCACAAATATACAGTCAATTCACTTTACAGTATATTCTGTGAAGAGCTTTGGAACATCTAGAAGACGTGAAAAGCGCCATATCAAATGCAAGGATTATTATTATTATTATCACCCCCACCTGGCTCCCCATTCCCTAGAGGATACAGTTCAAAATCCTCGTCCTCAAAGCCCTCCGTATTTCCTCTCCCTACTTGTGACCTGCTGACCCCATAACAACCTGTCCGCTCCCTCTGCTCAGCAGGAGCTCCATCCCACATCCCCTTAGGCTCACTCCTCCCCTTATCTCCTTCAAGGCAAGTCTCAAGACCCTCCTCTTCGACCATGACTTCAGCCACCGTCCCGATGTGAAAGGCGCTTTTGAAATATAATTCTGTACTGCATTATATTGTGCCCTCCAGTCTACCATCAGTGGCCGTGCCTTCAGCCACTACGCCCCGAACTCTCTCCCTCAATCTCTCCGCCTTGACCCCTCGCTCCCCACCTTCAAATCCTGGCTAAAGACCTTTTTTTTTTTGATTGTGCTTACGGTTCCATTGGCTCATTGTCAGACTCCATCACTGTGAGATGTTCAGGCACGCTACTGCACGTGAAGGGCACTATATAAATGAAAGTTGTTGTATATAGTTTGGCAACACAAAGATTGCATTAACAATATGAGTCTAATTACTGAAATCCAGCCTTAACCTTACAAATGGAAAACCGAGTATTACAAACCTCACTTCTTCTGGTTCAGCATGTCCTCTGAGATCATGTTCAAAGAACAGTCCTTTCCGTGGGATATAGGCAGGATTTTTTCGATCCTCATCATCATCTAGTTGTCTTCTATTCTTTTTCCCTATTTTATTTTCAACAGGGTCTGTACTTTCCTATGGAGAGGACAGAAATACAAAAACAATGTTTGAGATACAATAATAATAATCCATATATTTGATATAGCGCCTTATCATGTCTTTGAGACTGCTCAAAGCGCTTCACCGAATATACTGTACGGTGAATTGACTGTATATTTTGTGGGTGAAACATGGCAGCCAACTGATCACAGCAGCGTCCCACAAACAGTCATGGATTAGGGTTAGAGGAGATGAGTAATTTATTTAATCTGGGAAGTTTAAATTGCATCTAATGATTCTTAAGGAACTCTCGCACACATCTTTCAGGAATCACTGATAGCTGAAGAGGTGCCTGGGGATTGGAGAAAGGCAAATGTTACTCCTATTTTTGAAAAAGGTAGTAAGTGACCCAGGAAACTACAGACCAGTGAGTTTGACATCCATTGGGGGTAAAGGTTGGAGGCTCGTATTAAAAATAAGATCATGGAGCATCTGGACAGTAATAAAATGATAAAAGATAGTCAATATGGGTTCATGAAGGTCCCCCACACACTCTCTCTATCCCATCTCAAACTCTCTCAATCACCCCACTGTTTCTTTCTCACCCCTCACATTCACTCCGTCCACCCCACACTCTCTCTCCCTTCTCCCGTCACACTGCCCCTCTCTCAACTCTCCCTCTCTCAAAGTCTCTCTCTCACTCCCCCCTGTCTTACCTCTCTCACACACAAACACTCCCCTCTCCTCTTCCTCAGTCCCCTCCTCTCTCTCGGCCCCCACCTGCCTCTCACCCTCTGCCCCCGCCACCTTCTCCCTCCTCTCTCTCGGCCCCCACCTGCCTCTCACCCTCTGCCCCCACCACCTTCTCCCTCCTCACTCTCTGCCCCCACCACCCTCTCCTTCCTCTCTCTCTGCCCCCACCTGCCTCTCACCCTCTGCCCCCACCACCCTCTCCATCCTCTCTCTCTGCCCCCTTCCCCCTCTCTGCCCCCTTCCCCCTCTCTGCCCCCCCTGCAACGCCCCTCATTCTGCCCCCCTCTCTCTTTGCCCCCTCTCTCTCTGCCCCCCCCCACTCTCTCTGCCCCCGCCTCCACACTCTCTCTGCTCCCCGCATTCTCTCTCTGCCCCAAACTCAATCTCTCTCTGCCCCCCACTCCTCCTCTCTCTCTGCCCCTCCCCCCTCCCCCTCTCTGCCCCCTCCCCCTCTCGATCTGCCCCCCACTCCCTCTCTCTCTCTCTCTGCCCCCACTCCCTCTCTCCTTCTTCCCCCCTCCCCACACTCTCTCTCCCCCCTCCCCACTCTCTCTCTCCCTCTGTCCCCCTCCTCATACTTTCTCCCCCTCTGCCCCCTCCCTCTCTCTCTGCCCCCTCCCTCTCTCTCTGCCCCCTCCCTCTCTCTCTGCCCCCTCCTCTCTCTCTGCCCCTCCCTCTCTCTGCCCCTCCCTCTCTCTGCCCCTCCCTCTCTTCTCTGCCCCCCTCCCCATACTCTCTCTGCCCCCCTCCCCATACTCTCTCCCCCTCTGCCCCCACTCCCTCTCCCCATACCCTCTGCCCCCACTCCCTCTCCCCATACTCTCTCCCCCTCTGCCCCACTCCCTCTCCCCCTCTCTGCTCCCCCTCTGCCCCCTCCCTCCCCCCTCTCTCTCTGTCCCCCTCTCTCTCCCTCTGTCCCCCTCCCCACACCCTCTGTCCCCCTCCCCACACTCTCTCTCCCTCTGTCCCCCTCCCACACTCTCTCTCCCTCTGTCCCCCTCCCCATACTCTCTCCCCCTCTGCCCCTCCCCATACTCTCTCCCCTCTGCCCCGCCACTCTCTCCCTCCCCTCTGCCCGCACTCTCCCCTCCCCCTCTGCCCCGCCACTCTCTCCCTCCCCCTCTGCCCCGCCACTCTCTCCCTCCCCCTCTGCCCCGCCACTCTCTCCCTCCCCCTCTGCCCCGCCACTCTCTCCCTCCCCCTCTGCCCCGCCACTCTCTCCCTCCCCCTCTGCCCCGCCACTCTCTCCCTCCCCCTCTGCCCCGCCACTCTCTCCCCCCCTCTGCCCCGCCACTCTCTCCTCCCCTCTGCCCCGCCACTCTCTCCCTCCCTCCCCTCTGCCCCGCCACTCTCTCCCTCCCTCCCCCTCTGCCCCGCCACTCTCTCCCTCCCTCCCCCTCTGCCCCGCCACTCTCTCCCTCCCTCCCCTCTGCCCCGCCACTCTCTCCCTCCCTCCCCCTCTGCCCCGCCACTCTCTCCCTCCCCCTCTCTCCCCCGCCACTCTCTCCACCTCCACTCTCTCCCCCGCCACCCCTCCGCTCTCTCCCCTCCTCTCCCCCCCTCCGCTCTCTCCCCCTCTCCCCCCTCCCCCCCGCTCTCTCCCCCTCTCGCCCCCCCGCCTCTCCCCCTCTCGCCCCCCCCGCTCTCTCCCCCTCTCGCCCCCCCGCTCTCTCCCCTCTCGCCCCCCCGCTCTCTCCCCCTCTCGCCCCCCGCTCTCCCCCCCCCCCCCCCGCTCTCTCCCCCTCTCGCCCCCCCGCTCTCTCCCCTCTCGCCCCCCCGCTCTCCCCCTCCGCCCCCCCGCTCTCCCCCCTCCGCCCCCCCCCGCTCTCTCCCCTCTCGCCCCCCCCGCTCTCTCCCCTCTCGCCCCCCCCGCTCTCCCCCCTCTCCGCCCCCCCGCTCTCTCCCCTCTCGCCCCCCCCCGCTCTCTCCCCCTCTCGCCCCCCCCGCTCTCCCCCTCTCGCCCCCTCGCCCCCCCGCTCTCTCCCGCTCTCGCCCCCCCCGCTCTCTCCCGCTCTCCCCCCCCGCTCTCTCCCCTCCCCCCCCGCTCTCTCCCGCTCTCGCCCCCTCCCCTCTGCCCCCCCGCTCTCCCCCCCTCCTCGCCCCCCCCGCTCTCTCCCCCGCCCCTCCTGCCCCCCCCGCCTCCCTCCCTCTGCCCCCCCCGCTCTCGCCCCCTCCCTCTGCCCCCCCGCTCTCCCCCCTCCCTCTGCCCCCCCCCGCTCTCGCCCCCTCCCTCTGCCCCCCCGCTCTCTCCCCCTCCGCCCCCCCGCTCTCTCCCCCTCCGCCCCCCCGCTCTCTCCCCTCCGCCCCCCCCGCTCTCTCCCCCTCCGCCCCCCCGCTCTCTCCCCCTCTCTCCCCCCCCCATCTCTCCCCCGCACTGCCCTCCCCACTCTCTCCCCCCCTCTGCCACCCCACTCTCTCTCTCTCCCCCTCTGCCCCCCACTCTCTCTTCCCCTCTGCCTCCCACTCTCTCTCCCAAGCACGGGTCACTATCTATAGTGGCAGGAGCCGTCGGCTGGTTTCTAAGGACGCGCTTGCCTTCCTGACAGACTGCAGTAAAGACCCTGGGTGCTGCGACCTCCCAACCACCGGCTCCTGCTGCTACCCTGGGAGGACGTTCACCGGGATTGGAAGTTGGAATGGTGGGAATGGCCACAGGCCCCATAACCTCCCCCGCCGGGCGCTGGACTACACTGATGTAGACCATAAACTGTTTTGTCCAAAACAGTAGAACCAAAGGCCACAGCATACAACTGAAGGGGATTAATTCAGCATTTATAGTGACGTTTAGAGCGAGTTCAGTACACTGTGGCGAAGGTGAAGAAAAGCAGTCCTGATCAGAAAAAGGATGCAAAGAGAGAGGAGAGCTGAGGATCGAACTGGACAAGGCTGCACACTGGTTCGGTGAGTTTGAGAAAGAGGCTAGGGAGGTCAGTACCAGAAGGGAGAAGTTGATGGGAGCCAGGCTTTATTCAAACCAATTTTCATAATATCAGCACTATGGCGAAAATTATACAGATATATTGGAAGTACAGAGGAGAAGTGAAAAGGTAAATAAGAAGGGCGAAGAGATTGTATGAGAAAAGATTAGCAGGAAACATAAAAGGAAACCCTAAGGTATTTTATAAGCATATCAAGAGTAAAGGTTAGTCAAAGGTAGGGTGGGTCCAATCAGGGACCCAAGTGGAAATCTCCTTGTTGAGGCAGAGGGCATGGCTGATGCACTGAATAAGTACTTTGCAACTGTCTTCACAAAAGAAGACGATGCAACCGATGCCACAATATCACAGTCGTGTGAACAGAAATTGGATATGATAAAAATCAACAGAGAGGAGGTACTAAAAAGGCTGTCAGTGCTCAACATAGATAAGTCACCTGGTCTGGATGGGATGCATCCGAGGTTACTGAGGGAAGCAAGGGTGGAAATAGCGGAAGCTCTGATCACAATCTTTCAATCCTCTTTGGACACTGGAGTGGTGCCAGAGGACTGGAAGGTGGCAAATGTTACTCCCCCTGTACAAAAAGGGGGCAGAAGGATAAACCTGGGAACTGCAGGCCGGTCAGCCTAACATCAGTAGTAGGGAAACTACTGGAGACTATAATCCAGGACAATATAAATTCTCACTTGGAAAAATATGGTTTAATAAAGGACAATCAACACGGATTTGTTAAAGGCAAATCGTGTCTGACAAACCTAATAGAATGTTTTGATGAAGTGACTGAGAGGGTGGATAAAGGTAGAGCAGTACACGTAGTTTATCTAGATTTTCAAAAGGCATTTGACAAAGTGCCACACAAGAGACTTATAAACAAAATAGAAGCCCACGGTATTAAAGGGACTGTGGCAACATGGACCCAGGACTGTCTGGGAGACAGAGAGCAGAGAGTGGTAGTAAACGGTTGCTTTTCTGACTGGAGGGAGGTGTGTAGTGATGTCCCTCAGGGGTCGGTATTGGGACCACTGCTCTTTTTGATCTGTATTAATGGTCTGGACCTGGATATAAGGAGCACGATTCCCAAATTTGCAGGCTAATACTAAGCTAGGAAAAGTAGTTAATGGTGAGGATAGCACCAGACTCCAAGAGGACTTAGACAGATTGGCAAAATGGGCAGAAATGTGGCAGATGTGGTTTAACATAGAGAAATGCGAAGTGTTGCATTTTGGTAGGAAGAATGAGGAGAGGCAATATAAGCTGATGGTACAATCTTAAATAGGGCAAACAAACAAAGAGATCTGGGGGTCCACATAAGCAAATCTCTGAAGGTGGCTGACAGGTCGATACAGCTGTTAAAAAAGCATATGGGATACCAGGTTTTATAAATAGGGGCATAGAATTCAAAAGTCAGGAGGTTATGTTGAATATTTATAAAATGCTGGTTAGGCCTCAGTTGGAGTACCTCGTTCAGTTCTGGGCATCGCACTTTAGGAAAGATGTTAGGGCATTGGAGAGGGTGCAGAGGATAGTACCAGCAATGGAGGACCTTAGTTATGAGAAGAGGTTAGCGAAACTAGGATTAGTCTCCCTAGAGGAGAAGATTAAGAAGGGATTTAATAGAGGTTTTCAAGATCATGAGAGTATTTGATAGGTTGAACCGGGAAAAGCTATTTCCATTGGCATGCGGGTCAGTAACCTGAGGACACCGATTTAAGACAGTTGTTAAAAGAAACAGAGGTTAGGAAAAAAAAATTCACCCAGCGAGTTGTTGGGATCTGGAATGCATTACCTGAAAGGGTAGTGGAAGCCGATTCAATAACAACTTTTAAGAGAGAAGTAGATGGGTATTTGGGGAGGACAGGATTATAGGGCTATGGAGAGAAAGCGGACGGTGGGATTGAGTTGGATTGCTCTTTTAGGAGCTGGCGCAGACGCGATGGGCCGAATGGCCTCTTTCTGTGCTGTATGATTTTATGATATTCTATGTAAAAACGGTTTCATCAGGTCTTTTGCAAGAATCTGTTTTTGCATCTTTCACTCTCTCTAATACTTCATTTCCATTACATGACCTTACATAACTGGTTCTCAAGCAGCCTTGGTCTCCTGGCATCTGGAATCCACCAGAATTGTAATAATAATGCTTGCATTTGATAAAGCACTTTTATCACAATGTTGAGATGTCTCAAAGAGCTTCACAGGATACAACAACAACAAGATTCCATTTATAGAGCGCCTTTCACGTGGGGAGGACGTCCCAAGGCCCTGTACAGTTGGGTCAGGACCCGAGCAGGGGGGAAGTGGTCAGGGTGAGGGGAGGGAAGAGAGGGGGCGAGGAGGGGGTAGAGAGTTGAGAGGGGAGCTGAAGGCACGGTCAAAGAGAAAGGTCTTGAGACCGGCATTGAAGGAGGAAAGGGAGGAAGCAAGGCGAAGGCACTGGGGGATAGAGTTCCAGAGCCTCGGGGCTGAAGGCACGGCCACCTATGGTAGGGCGGTTGGGGCGGGGGATGTGGAGCAGACCGGAGCCAGAGGAACGGAGGGTACGGGCAGGTAAGTAGGGGGATAGTAGGTCAGAGAGGTAGGAGGGAGCAAGGCCGTGAATGGCCTTGTAGGTGAGGATGAGGATTTTGAATTCGATCCTCTGGGGGATGGGGAGCCAGTGGAGGCGAGCGAGGGTGGGAGTGATGTGGTCGCGAAGCCTGGTGCGGGACAGTACACGAGCTGCAGAGTTCTGAATGACCTGCAGTGTGGAGGGAGGGCCGGGAAGGCCGGCGAGGAGAGAGTTCCCATAGTCCAGCCTTGAGGTGATAAATGTGTGGACCAGAGTTTCAGCAGCGTGAGGGGTGAGGTAGTGCCGTAGTCTGGCGATATTCCGGAGGTGATGGAAGGCGGTGCCAGTTGTGGCGCGGATATGAGGAAGAAAGGACAGCTCAGGGTCGAACAGAATACCGAGGTTCCTGTCCGGCTTTGAGAGGTGGAGTGCAGCCTTGGATGCTGATGCTGTCAGCGCCTGAGGTGCGGAGGCGCTGACGTGAGCCAATCAGGAGGGCCTCAGTTTTGCGCACGTTGAACTGAAGAAAGTTGTCTCTCGTCCAGGACTCGATGTCGGACAGGCAGCTGTCAGGACATCGGTGGTCGTGGAGTTGAGGGTAGAGGAGGAAAGGTAGAGTTGGGTGTCATCCGCATACATGTGGAAGTTAACCCCATGTCTGCGGATGATGTCACCACAGGGGGAGCATATAGAGGGTGAAGAGGAGGGGACTGAGGACAGAGCCCTGAGGGACACCGCACGAGACAGTGCGGGGGCTGGAGGAAAAGCCGTTTGTGGAAACAAAATGAAGGCGGTGGGAGAGGTACGACCTAATCCACTCAAGGACAGGGCCTTGAAGGTTGAGGTGGGAGGACAAGCGGTGGAGGAGGATAGGGTTGTCGACCGTATCGAATGCTGCCGATAGGTCGAGGAGGACGAGGAGGCAGAGGGAGCCCTGGTCGCAGATGGTCAGGATGTCATTGGTGACCTTGACCAGGGCGGTTTCTCTGCTATGGGCAGCACGGAAACCCGACTGAAGGGGTTCGAATAATGAATGGGTGGAGAGGAAAGAGCGCAGTTGGGAGGCGACAACTCTTTCAAGGACCTTGGACAGGAAGGGGAGGTTGGAGATGGGCCGGTAGCTTGATAGCTGCGACGCATCAAGGGAGGGTTTTTTCAAAGTGGGAGTGATGATGGCAGTTTTTAGGGGAATGGGAACAGAGCCAGAGGAGAGGGACAGGTTGATGATGTCTGTGATATGTGGGGCAAGGAGGTGGAGCTGAGAGATAAGGAGTGGAGTGGGGATGGGGTCAAGGGAGCAGGTGGTGGGTTTCAGGGATAGGATGAGTTTGGTGACAGAGGGTGGGGAAACGGGTACAAAGGTGTGTAGGGGAGGATGGGTAGGAGTCGGAGTGTGGGAGGGAGGGGGTGGGTGGAGGTTGGAGGGGGAGTGACTGCGGAGCGGATTCCCTTGATTTTGGATTCAAGGAAATCCAGCATCTCCTCACAGTGAAGGTTGGAGGAGATGACCTGCGCGGGGTGGCGGGGGGGACGGAGGAGTCGGGATGTGGTAGAAAACAGAAGCCTGGGGTTGTTCTTCGCCTCCAGGATTATCCTGGAGTAGAAGGACAACTTGGCCGAGGCTAGAGTGGAGCGGTAGATTTTGAGGAGGTCCAGCCAGATTTGTCGGTGGATCGTTAGGCCAGATTTGAGGCAGGTACATTCAGCGGCCCACACCTGGCTCTTCAGAGAGCAGAGGTGAGTGGTGAACCAGGGGGAGGAGCGAGAGTAGGAGACAGTACGGGAGATGATGGGGGCAAGAGTGTCGAGTGTGGAGGAGAGGGTGTTGTGGAGGAGGGTGATAGGAGAAGAGGAGTCATTGACGGTTGAAGGCCAGAGGGAGAGGAGTTCAGAGGACTCATACATTGTAAAGTGTAGTGACTGTGAGTTTTGGGGGCAAAAATGATGCGTGACTCGATTGATGTATAAAGCTGACAATGGGATGCTGGGCAGCAGTGAGACAGGAGAGGAAAAGCAAGGCAAGGAAATAGTTGATTTCATGTACATTTCCTTTCTCCTTATTTCCCAAAACATATTACCTTGCATTTTCCTGGATTAAATTTCATTTACAATATTCTTTGGTATATAATATACATTACTCTGGTCAGTGGAAGGCATGTATTTTAAAGCACAACAAAATGGGATCATTTGGAATAATTAAAATTTGAGGAATCATTTGAAAAATTGCAGTTGATCCTTGAATAACAGATGTGATTACGGGTGGCTGTTTAACTAGGTTTTGTGCAGATATAACATTCTGTAAAAATAAATGCACAAACCACATTACCTGCCCATCACCACTCTGTCTCTCTCCTGTTACTGTTCCCTTCTCTTCAGGTTTGCCTTCTTTTAAGGATTCATTTTCATCATTGATTTTTTTCATTTCCTCCTTTGGACCTTCTTCCTCACTGTATTCTCCATCTTCATCATCACCCCCCTGCATGTAAAGACTGGTTAAGTGACACTAAAAGAGCGCAGGCAATTAAAATCAAACATTTCAGATGCATTTTCCACTAAATGTGCCTTTTCTAAAATGATGCCCTCCACTACCATATACATAAAATTCACTGTAGTCAGCTGTCTTCTATCAGCACATTCTATTGATCATAGATCAGCTGGCCATACATTCCAAAAACATCCACATCAGTACAAATCCATCGTCACTTGCTAATCATCATTTACTTTCCAACACATTCTTATTGTTCACTGACCCAGAGCCAACATTCACAAAGTACAGGCTGACCCAGTTACTGCGATTAGGTAGTATAGAGTGGGTCTCCTTACAGTGTGGTGACACTAGGGACAGACTACACCAATACAAGTTCAGTATACTTGCCAATAACTGCCATGTATGCACAGGATGTGCTGTTGACGTTACTACATGTCAGTGTTTACTACGCACAGTGCACATCACGTAGGAAGTGGCATCAGCAACAACCTGATGATGTGGAAGAGCCACTGATTGGCCGCCATTCTTTTGCACTCTCCATTACAAAGAGGGAGTTTATGGACCCAAATCATCCCATTACAGTAGGATTGGTTTGTATTATCGACCATTACCTCTTAAGTCGTTTTTAATGCCCTACCGTTCAGTCATTTTTAAACAATACTCAAATTTGGTTCTTAAGTTGTTTTCCAAATTTTCACTATATTTACCCGCTGTATGTACAGCGTCCCGGAGGAAGCCAGTTACCAATACAAAACACTGGCCTCCTGTGCTGTGAACTTTCTAAGATTCTAAGAGTAGAACCAAGTAAAAATTATATTATAACCAGAATTGTTACTCTTAAAGTAAGGAATACAAAAATCCAAGCCACTAACTATGCTTCCATTTGCAAAACGAATCATGAGAGAGTGGAAACGGGTTGGATTTTCTAAGACAAGCGCAGCGGGAAATACTGTAATTAAATGAGCAAAGAACTAGAAATAGCCTGGAAGAGATCAGACAGTTAGGCTCAACAGAAGCGGGTGAAAGAAGCCACAATAGTAGAAGAGATTATTCAGACATCGGACAAAAAGGTTAATGAAGAACAGAGGAAGCATTATGCAATAAAATTTGATTTCCTACAATGACCCCAGAACAGAGAAGGACAATAGTAGATCAGGGAGAGAAACAGGTAAGAAGCAGCGCTGAGGAACAGGGTCTCCCGAGCAGAAGCAGGATACAGGAAAAAAGAGTGCATAATGCAAAGTGCAACCAGTAAGAGGAAGCCCAAAAATGCAGGCCTGTACGTTTTGTCACTCATGCCAAAGGTACTACAATTCAAAACCTCATCAAATTTGCTAACAGGTAGTCAAGTAAGTACAGCAACTCTGAGATCACCAGCTCAATAAAGCACAAAATACAACCTCCAGCACAAGCACAATGTAGTATAGGCCCACGACTCACTACCAGTACAGACAAAAGCCTGTCTCCTCCTCCCCCTTCTCCTCTATGGCCATTACACAGGTCCCATCTTTGCACTTTGCATTACCAATTACTACTTTAAAAGGCACCCATTTTGTAGTAGACTATCAAGTTCAGAAATGCATGCTAAGAAAGGAGAATTATTTTAAACTGTGAGACTTACAGATTTCTGAGAACCATTTTCTTCTGCACTTTCATAGTCTGAGAGTACAACAGCTGTAATTAAAAAAAATATATACCATATAAGAGTACTGTGCAAAAACAATCAGTGAACGTGGCAACAAATTCAGCAGAAGCAAATATTTTTTACGTACTTCAGATCATTTTGTAAAAGAACAATGATGTGTAGGCAGCTACATGGTTTCCAACTTTGGCTCTCATAATACAATTATAATACTAATATAATAATCCTTGCATTTGATATAGCGCTTTTCACGTCTCAAAGCGCTTCACAGAATATACTGTAAAGTGAATTGACTGCATATTTGTGGGCAAAACACGGCAGCCAATTGCACACAGCAGTGTCCCACCAACACCAACAATTGGTGGAATTAGATAAGGTGACACAACAAGGGGCTTTCAAGAGGGAAGCGGACAGGTGTATGAAAGAGAGGGGCTTAAAAGAATACGGGGATAAGGCAGGGTGTTGGGATTGAATTGATGTCCTTGCTCTGTGAGCTATGGTGGACTCGATGGGCCAAATAGAAATCTACAGCGCAGAAGGAGGCTATGTTTAAGTGACAACTGAAGTAATAAGCTAACTTAACCCAGACTTAGTCAGTAAAACGTGTTTGCCTACAATAGTACTGAAATACGCAGGATAAACCAAGCAGTCTAGTCAAGCAGAAGACTGTAATCATCTTCACCAACACTAAGACCACCTCTGCCTGCAGTGAAAACAGCAGACTGGTAGCAAGACATCAAAAAATATATAATGCTTGATGGCGAAAAAGCCTCAAGCCTCCAATTGTTTAGGTCGGGGGGGGGCCCCATAAGCAATATTGTTGTGTTTCCCTTCCAGAAACATTGGGGGAAAAAAATTTGGTCATTCAAATTTGTGGGACACTGCTGTGCGCAATTGGCTGCCGCGTTTCACCCACAAGTAGTCAATTCACTTTACAGTATATTCTGTGAATCGCTTTGAGACGTCTAGAAGATGTGAAACGCGCTATATCAAATGCAAGGATTATTATTATAACATTTACTCTGCGCCTTTGTAACATCAGAACGACTACTTAAAGCGCTTGAGCTGTCAGCTGAGGGAAGTGGGATGGGAAGGGGAAAAAGATGACAGTCAAGGAGGGAGGAGGGGAGTCGGGGAGATTCCAGGAATGGAGCTCCAGAGAGCGGGGGCAAAATGGCGAAAGTTGAGCAGTTGGGGTGGGGGACATGTAGCAAGGCAGTGTTTGCTGGGCAAAGGGAATAGCTGGGTCAGGAGGTGACAGAGTTAGGGTGGGGGGGAGGAAAGTCATCGAGGAGTTTCTCACTGTGGAAAGAAGGAGGTTTCTGTGAGGAAACTGCCCGGCACATCACTCGGTGTCTGTGCTTGGGTCCACCCGGCCGAGGGAGGTTTCAATCATCTGTCCTGACAGTGAACCACAAAAGACTCCCCTCACGTCTCTTCTCTCGGTTTTGCTCTCTCCCCAATTACTCTCTCTCTCAATTCTCGCTCACACACACACCCTCTCTCCCCCCTCTCAATCTTTCTCTTTCCCCCTCTCTCAGTCTTTCTCACTGCCCCTCCCCTCTCACACTCTCTCTCAACCTTTCTCACTCAGTCTCTTTCTCTTACATTCTCATTCACACATCCTGTCGCAATCCCAATCTCTCGGTCAATCAAGCAATCCCAGTCAGACGATCCCTCTCTCTCACACAATTATTATCCTGGATAAGGAGACCTGTTTGTCTTCCTCTCAGCTCGGGAGGGGCTTCCTGACACATTGCAGTAACGGTCTGCATTATTTCCACTCCCCTCATTGTGTGCTCCCAACCGCCAGCTCCTGACGCTGCAATGAGAGGATGGTTTGCCTCTGTCAGGGAGGAAGAAGGGGAGGGAGGGGGCAGCCCAAAGCTGGAAATGGTCTCAGGCCGGATTAAATCGTCTGCCTGTTGGTTCACCTGCTTTAGGTACCGAAGCTGTTTAACTATGTAGCTGCACTCAGCTTTTTAAACAATTATAAAAGTTTTCCAAAATAACTACTGTGGCCATGGTGTCAGGATTGCTATTTGCACATGGACAGATGTTTGAAAATTCTTATTTGCTGCACTCAGTTGGTGACAATACGTCAATTATTCAGTCTGGTTGCTGTTAAAACCAAGTGTAATATAATTGAGTGGTTTAAACAATAGTAGGGATAAAATCTGCATGAACAGAATATTCCTGAAGATGTTGTCTGATACGAAAGGTTTAATAGTGGCTCCTGCCTAAAGCTAATCTGTTTAATTTGGCCATTGTACTTACCATCACCTCCTATGCCATCTTCACTCTCCTGTGAAAGAAATAGACTTGAATTAGCAATTGTTTATAGTAATTCATTAGACTGACTACCTCAACTCCTGTCCACCTCAACTCCTGGGTCTCTAATTGGTGGTCATTAATGATCATTACTTTTGTTTCCATCCCATCCCTACTGAACCAACATTAATGAGCTCTAAATATATGCCACCCAGTGCTTGTAGCATATTAAGCCGAACAGCAACAACCCCCACCCCACCCATCTGGACCAATCAGTATACACTATTACAAGATAGAGTGGAAGTCATTTAAGATGAACATATTGGGACAGGCTAACAGAAGTTCTCTTCCCACCTTCCTTCCATTGCCATCCCCACTGGACGGGAACAGGACAATCAGCAGTGGCTCAGAGGCGATTGACAGCCTGAAACTGCTTGTGAATGGTTGGGGTCTGTTGTCAATCACAATTTACTCCTCCCATCTCCATTCCAGAGCTGCTCGAGACACAGAGCGAGTAAAAACAGCGCGACCAGCACAGCGTTTTGTCTGGATTAAACGGGGTCCAGGGTTAATCAGCTAAAGCGGCTTCTGCTGTATCTCAATCAGCAATCCAGGGATTGCTGATTAATTATACAAAGTGACAAGAAGCTTAAGCATTGAACCAGCAAGCATATAGTTGAAAAATCTGAAATTAATTTTGTCTGAAAAAATTTCACAGCTCTGCAGTTTGTACACCGAGCACATGGTTCTAAACCAAGACCCTCTGCCACAGAATCAGTCAGCACAACTTCACTTTGTAAACTGTGTATATCACAAATAGCCCTAGACTGAAAATTGCTAGACCGATATTGCACAAAACTATATACAACATCAAACACACAAAATCATACAGAAGGTACACTAAATAATTCAAGAGTTCTGCAGAGTAGTGTTTAGAGTTCTTGCCTCACCTGGGTGGGGCGAAACCTTAGCCAACTTTCCTTACTCCAAATGTCTATGTTCATCCAGGAGTAAATAGGTACCAGGTTGTTAGTTAATTGGCAGATTGCTTTCTAGAGCTAATGGTTTATGTGCCAGCCTGGTGCATTCACCAAGTCAGAAGGTTAAGGGTGCATACCCTATGTTGTGACTTGGAATCACATCGTCTAAAACAGCTTGCTCCAATAGGCGGGCTGCGGGCCACATCCAGCTCAGTGAATGATTTCATCCATCCTGACACCACTTCAAGCTTCTCCCTCCCACCCTCCCAAGGAAACGTCCTCACATGGCAGCGGCAGGAGTCAGCAGGTGGGAGTGGAAATCATGCCGACCATTACTGAAGTGTGTCACACAATTAGGAAAACAGCCATTTCTGAGCCCCGGCTGATTGTGAAAAAGTAGAGTGAGGGGGAGAGAGAAAGAGAGTGATTGAGAGAGAGGGGAGAGGGAGTGAAAGGCTGGTGGAAGCCGATTCGATAACAACTTTTAAGAGAGAAGTAGATAATTATTTGGGGAGGACAGGTTTGCAGGGCTATAGGGAGAGGGATTGATTTGGAAGCTCTTTTTAAAGAGCTGGCCCAGACATGATGGGCTGAATGGCCTCCTTCTGTGCTGTATGATTCTATGAATGGAGGGACTGGATTCTGAGGAGCGATTAAGTAATCTGGGTTTGTTCAAGTTGGAAAAGAGAAGGTTGAGAGACAATATGATAGCATTTTTTAAGATTCTAAAGGGACTGGATAACAGACAGCCCGGCCGCCTGCTCCCCGAGGAATGTTCTCTCATAGTAGCGGCAGGAGCCGGCGATTGGAAGGACACAGCGTGGAGTGAAAATAATGCCAGCCGTTACTGCAGTCTGTCAAGAAGGCAAGTGTGTCTCCTTATCCACCCCATCCTTAGCAACCACCGGCACCTCCCGCTGTGGATAATGACCCGTGTGGATAAATGAGAGAAAGTGGGAGAGAGAGAGTGATTGACAGGGGGAGGGGAAGAGAAAGTTTGAGGGAGAGGGGGAGAGAAAGAAACAGAGAGAATGTGGGAGCAGAGAGTGTGGAGAGTGAGAGAATGTGTGTGTGTCAGAGAAAGTAATTGAGAGAGTGCGTGAGACAGAGAGTAATTGAGAGTGTGTGAGGGAAGCGGGGGGGTGAGAGTGATTGAAAAAGAGAGAGGGAGAGTGTGACAGTGAAGAGACAGAATTGTGCGGGAGGTGTGAGAAGTGGAGTGAGAGAGAATAATTGAGAAAAAACAGAGAAAGAAGGGGGTGGGAGAGAGTGTGGAGAAGCAAGGGTAGCATTTCATGGTTAACTGTCAGGACAGGCGATCGAAACCTCCCTTAGCTGGGAAAGACACAGAGTGATGTCCGCGTGGTTTCCTCACAGAAAGCTTCCTCTTTCCCCAGTGAATAATTCCTCTACGTCCTTCAATCTCCCCCCTCCCCTGTGACCTCCTGACCCAGCCATTCTCTTTGCAGAACACCAGCCTGCTTTATGATCCCCCACCTAATCTGCCTCACCATTGCCATTTTGCCCCCACTCTCTGGAGCTACATTCCTGGAGTCCCTCCAACTTGCTCTCTCCACCCCCTCGTGCAAGACACATAAAGACCTAACTCTTTGATAGCACCTTCGGTCAATTTTCCCTTCCTCATCCCACCTCCCTCGGGTCCCATCCCCAGCTCAGGTGCCCAGCCGGCAATGTCGAGCGTTTTGAGATGTCCTTTCGACGTGGAAAGGGAGCTGTGTAAATGTTACGTTACTGAAAGGGAAACACAAAAATATTGCTCAAATATTCCCTAATTCTCAAATAGGGTAACTGCCAAAAACTGCCCTCCTGATGTAGATAGACCATGATAAGCTGTTTTATCTTGTACAAAATAACAGAACCAGAGAAGGTGGCTGCAAATGATTGAGGGTAAATTCAAAACAAATCTGCAGAAACACTACAGTATTTCAGTGAGCGAATAGTAAATGTATCCCTAGGATAGGATCCCTAGGGAGACAGTGGAAGCAGAAAGTGTTGATTCGTTCAAAAGCAAATTAGATATAAATTCTTTCAGGAAGTAATGTCGTAGAATACAGTGTATAGTTAGGGACATGTTCACGCGATGGGATGGTGGAAGGCGAACTGAATGGACCCTGGTCTTCTTTCATCTAGAAAGTTCTTATGCAGTTAAAAGGTTACTAAAAAAAATTGCAGTCAATAATTGGTGTATAAATTTCTCTCCTGTGTCACTTTCCATTTCTCACCTAGAGGTTTCAGCTGAGTCAACCATTACTACCTTCAACGACAATGAGTTCCAACTCTATTTTTCCACCTCTCTTTGCGACCCCCCAGTCCCCTGATGTTGTCAGCTGCCTGTCAGATCTCAGGGGCTGGATGAGCGCAAATTTCCTTCAGTTGAACGTTGACAAGACGGAAGCCATACTCTTTGGCTCTCGTCAATGTCTAAAATCTCTCACCTCCTCCACCTACCTGACCTGCCCCTAAAACTCTCCGAACCCGTACGCAACCTAGGCGTCAGATTCGACCACCAATTAACCTTCCTCCCCCACATCTGGTCCCTCACCAGCACCGCTTTCTTCCACCTCCGACACATCGCCCGTCTCCGCCAATACCTCTCCCCAAAAGCCGCTGAAACCCTGGTCCATACCTTTGTCACCTCTCGGCTGGACTACTCTAATGCCCTCCTCGCCGGCCTCCCCTCCAGTACCATCCATAAAATCCAGGTCATTCAAAACTCTGCCGCCCACATTCTCACCCGCACCAAACTCCGCTCCCTGATCACCCCAGTCCTGGCCAGACTGCACTGCCTGTCCCAGAGAGGATCGACTTCAAGATCCTCACCCTTGTATTCAAGTCTCTGCACTCCTCTGCACCCCCCGACCTCTCTGACCTCCTCTCTCCTCAAAACAGTACTCGTTGCCTTCGCTCCTCCGGGTCTGACCTCCGCCTCGTCCCCCGAATCCTCTGCTCCACCCTCAGCGGCAGTACATTCAGCCACTATGCCCCAAGGCTCTGGAACTGCCATCCTCACTCCCTTCGTCTCGCTCCCTCCCTTCCCATTTTCAGGTCTCTGCTGAACACCTTTCTTTTCAACCGCACCTTTGGTCACCTTCCCCCCCCCTCCCCCTGGCTCCCCCCTCCCCTGGCTCCCCCCCTTCCCCTGGCTCGGTCCCGGATCCGTGACTGTAAAGCTCTGAGACGCCGTGCAGCGTGGAGGGCACTATATAAATCCAAGTTGTTGCTGTTGTTTTTCCACACAAACATAGGTAGAAATATTTATTGTTCAATCTACCCCCATTCCCTCATGACATGACCCAAGAGAGAGCCACGACCATCCAGGGAGAATAACAGACAGAGCGGAGGGGCCACATTGACCAGAACACAAAATCTCACGTTACAATTCAGATTTTGTTTAAAAAGCAAATCTTTATAATTGAACTTATTGCCAATAGATCAAACTCTGGTTAACAATTAATCCAATATTCAGCTGACAATATTGCTTCCCAGTCTGTGGGCAAGTGACTGGAGCCGTCAGGGAGCCGCCCTCTGGAGGCCAGGCCCAGGCAGGCCCCGAGCCCCGCTCTCTAGCACCGGGATACTCACACACTCGGACTCGGCCTCGCGAGATTGAACTGCGGGTAGATCAATGACACGAGGGGCAGCGGGAACAACTTCCACTGCGGCCCCGGGCACCTCCTCATCCTCCTCATCGCTGTCCTGAGACGCGCGCCGCCGCCGCCTGTCCGCCATATTGCCGCCTGAGAACAACCGGAAGTGATAGTGCGCTCGGCATGCAGCCACTTGCGGGCAAAGTATAAAGGGCGGGTGGGCCGGAAAGACTGCAACTCCCGACATGCTCCTGGCCTTGTGGGAGCGGCCAGAATCACATGGTCCTCATCCTCAGCGAGGGCCGGCCTCCCCCGGAGCATTCTGGGAATTGGACTGAGTTTCAAAAGTTGCACAACCACATGGCGCAGTTGATTGGTTTATAGCGGGAACATTGGACCAGGGCAGAGTGGATGGAGGCTGGTGAATAATACACATAACTAACTCACAGCAGTGCCAGCACAGGCCTAACATGTACCTACAGCAGAACCGCAGTTATCCAGCACAGCAGATAAATTGTCCTGACCAACAATTTAAATTGGCAAATAACCAACATTAAAAGTCACTCGAAGCAATACGTTGACAATATAATGATCATCCTTTTTGGTTTATAATCATCAATATTTGGAATAGGACCTTTCACGTTAGGAGGCCGTCCCAAATTGCTTCATGTTCCCGTAGCTCAGTGGTGAGCGCTCACCGAGAGGATCTGGGTTTGATTCCCGGTACGGCAAAACGTTGGGCAAGTTTCCTGACTCCACATGTCTATTTACCCAGCAGTAAGTAGGAACCGGTTGTCAGTAGATTGGTGGATTGCTTTTCCAGGGATAATAATTCCTTCAAAAAAATACCCCAGTACTGGATTTGATTGTCATCTTCAGACTATATAGTTACAAGCCCTGATGTGGATCCTCGTTTTGACTTAGAGGTGAATGTGCTACCAACTGAGCCAGGCTGACACACAATAAATTTTGATCAGCACATGAATAATTTCTCATTTTATCAATTAGGTGCTAGTCTTCCGATTTGCCATTCACTATATTGTGTGTTTTTCTTGATTCTTGTATAAAATTGTTAGTGAAAATAAATATCTTCTCAGTACTAGGGCTAACCAAGACCGACATTTATTTTGGGTTTCAAGATTTCCCAAGAAATCCTTTGTGATATGCTATCATGGCTATAATAATTATATAATAATAATCATAATAATCTTTGCATTTGATATAGCGCCTTATCAAGTCTTTGAGACGTCTCAAATGCTTCACAGAATATACTATACAGTGAATTGACTGTATATTTTATGGGAAAAACGTGTCAGCCAATTGCGCACAGCAGCATCCCACAAATAATCGTGGATTGAATGACCAATTTAAGGAATTATTACCTCCAGAAAAATGATCTGCCAATCGACTAACAACCGGGTTCCTACTAACTGCTGGGTAAACAGAGGCGTGCGGAGTAAGGAAACTTGCCCAACATTTCATCCTGTTAGGAATCGCTTGTGAGTGCTCTAACCACTGAGCTACTCCACAATATCTCCACAATAAGCAAATTGCATCCATGGTATCTGCCACTGTGATTGAGAGTTCTGCAAGTATAATTTCTAGAAACAGTATGTTCACAAAATGCTGTTCTGTCCTTACCACAGCATTCAAACTTTGCTCCACTAATTCTGCTCCTCCAAAGCTTTCCTTTGTACAATTTTCAGACTGGTCTTTTGTAGTATTTCCCTGTGAATGTCAAACTTTTCAGAAAAAGTATCAAAAGAATTAGGTGGTAAAGTTTACTTTGGCTGGATGAATATTAATGTCCAGGGGAGTGTCACAAAAGAAGTGTCTGGCAATCAGGCACTAATCTTGCCATCCAATCTGCTTCCATGCAGGATTTATATTACCACTCTGGAATTGTAATGTTTATAGAGAATGAAGAAGTGAAGCATCAAATTTATGGGTTAAGCAGCCAGTGTAGATTTATTTTGCCCACGAATATATGGTCAATTCACTTTACAGTCTATTCTGTGAAGCGTTTTGAGATGTCGAGAAGACGTGAAAAGTACTATATCAAATGCAAGGATTATTATTATTATTTCATCCACAAAAACACACCAGTATATCCTCTCAAGCACGTTGAGATGTTCTCCCGACATGAAAGGTACTATACCAAATATAAGGATTATTATAATGAACACTGAGTGTGGTGGGGGAAGGAAGCAAGTGAGTGGGGAATATGCCTGCTTCACAATTGGCAGGTGGGCCTTCAGCCACTCTGCCCCCACCCTGTGGAACTCCATCCCACTGTCCCTCCACCTCGCCCCTTCCCTTGCCTCCTTCAAGATCTGCTCAAGACCCTCCTCTTCAAATGTGCCTACAGTCACCCTCCTGCCACCCCTGTGCTCCATCCTCCCCGATCCTCAGGTTTGGCCTGAAACACTGATTGTCTGGCGCCCAGAGAAAAGTGAAAGGCGCTTTACACATGTAATTTTGTTGTTCTTGAGTGATTGGGTGGGGATTGTGAGAATGAGGAATGTGAGTGAGTTAGGAATAAATGCATGAGTGGGGAATGTTTGACCGAGTCATCAATGAAGGGGTGAGTCAGTGAAGATTGTCTCTGAGAGTGAGTTAGGAATGTTTGTGTGAGAGTCAGTTAAGAATGTGAGTGAGTGAGTGAGTGAGTGAGTGAGTGAGTGAGTGAGTGAGTGAAGAATGTGTGTGTGTCAGAGTGAGTTAGAAATCCAAAAGTGAGATAGGAATGTTTGTGTGAGAGTAAGTTGGGAATGTTTGAGAGTGAGTTGAGAATCATTGAGTGAGAGAGTTGGGAATGTTTGTGTGAGTGAGTGAGTTGGGAATGTTTGTGTGAGTGAGAGAGTTGGGAATGTTTGTGTGAGTTGGGAATGTTTGTGTGAGTGAGTGAGTTGGGAATGTTTGTGTGAGTGAGTGAGTTGGGAATGTTTGTGTGAGTGAGTGAGTTGGGAATGTTGTGTGATTGAGAGTGTTGAGCACTCACACAAACATTCCCAACTCACTCACACAAACATTCCCAACTCACACAAACATTCCCAACGCTCTCACTCACAAACATTCCCAACTCTATCACTCACACAAACATTCCAAACTCATTCACTCACACAAACATTCCCAACTCACTCACACAACATTCCCAACTCTCACCCACACAAACATTCCCAACTCACTCACACATACATTCCCAACTCTCTCAGTCACACAAACATTCCCAACTCACTCATTCACACAATCATTCCCAACTGATTCACTCACACAAACATTCCCAACTCTCCCACTCACACAGACATTCCCAACTCACTCAAACAAACATTCCCAACTCACTCATTCACACAATCATTCCCAACTGATTCACTCACACAAACATTCCCAACTCTCCCACTCACACAGACATTCCCAACTCACTCACACAAACATTCCCAACTCACTCGCACAAACATTCCCAAATGATTCACTCACACAAACATTCCCAACTCACTCACACAAACATTCCAAACTCATTCATTCACACAAACATTCCCAACTCACACAAACATTCCCAACTCACTCACACAACATTCCCAACTCTCTCACTCACACAAACATTCCCAACTCTCTCACCCACACAAACATTCCCAACTCACTCACACAAACATTCCCAACTCACTCATTCACACAAACATTCCCAACTATCACTCACACAAACATTCCCAACTCACTCACACAAACATTCCCAACTCACTCACATACATTCCCAACTCTCTCACTCACACAAACATTCCCAACTCACTCACACAAACATTCCCAACTCTCCCACTCACACAAACATTCCCAACTCACTCACTCTCACAAACATTCCCAATTCACACAAACATTCCCAACTCTCTCACTCACACAAACATTCCCAACTCACTCACTCACACAAACATTCCCAACTCATTCACTCACACAAACATC